CAGGCCCAGAGCAGTGGCTGCCAGGCTGTGAGCGGCCAGGCCCGGAGCAGCCGGGTCGGGAGCGGCCAGGCCCGGAGCAGCTTGTTGTGGAACGAACCAGAGCAACAGAGGCCAGGCCCTGAGCAGCCAGGCCCGGAACAGCTCGCTCCTCGCCTGCCCCTGCCCCACGGCTGCCTCTCAGACATGGCTGGAAACTTTCGTGGGAACTTGAGGGTCTGCTGAATCAAGTGATGAAGGCTTAGATCTGGATGTGTTGAATTAGTATAGGGCTGGGGTATTGATCTGTGAGTGCCTTGGGTGGGGCCTGGATGAGGCTAGTTGACTTATTGGGAAATGTCTTTTGTGTGAAGTGTATCATTGGGCATGTGGAGGTATTATTGATATGAGAAAATGCTAAGTAACTGAATTACTATCTGAAAAGGGATTTACTATCGGGGAAAGGGAGGGAAGAAGAGACTGAACATAAACTGTGCACCTATGGATGAGGACAATGGGGGTTGGGGAGGGGGCGGAGGGTGGGGTGGGAACCTGGTGGAGGGGGGAAGAAATGAGGAACCTTTGTAATAATATGAACAATAAAGATTGATTTAAATTAAAAAAAAATAGTCACTGGGATGTAAAGTACAGCACAGGGAATATAGTCAATAATAATGTAATAACTATGTGTGGTGCCAGGTGGGTACTGGAAATATCCAGGGGAACAGTTTGCAAAGTATATGATTGTCTAACCATTATGCTGTACACCTGAAATGAATACAAAACAATATGGAATGTAAATTGCAATTGAAAAATAAAAGTTAAATTAAAAGATGTAAAAAAAAAAAAATTACCATAGGATGCCTTGGGCAAGCAGATTTTAGCTAAAATAACTTTAACAGCCAGTGAATGCTATCCAGATCAGAATAGGAATAGATTCATGAAAAGAACTGACTTATTAAGTCTTGTCTATATGTTTGTTGATCTGTCATTTTTGTTTAGTTTAATGTGTCTATTAAGCGTGCCTTTAGTTTAATAAGAAAAGAAACCACCTGGGCAGCCAGACCAGTTACTGAATTTCCCCAAAGCAAGAAGGATTGGTGTGGCGGGGGAGGGGGGGGTAGAGGAGAGATAGGTGGTCATCCTCTAAAATGGACACCCACCTCTGAGAGTGCTATTAAAAAGTCTCATTCACACCATGTTTTTTCCTGGTCTATCATTTAAAAATTTGGCAGAATTTAGGAATGCATTTGGGATTTCTGTACTCGAAAGAAGAGAAAGCTAGCTTAGAACAAGAGTGCTCTGTCCAATTTTGGACAGGTTTTGGGCTACACTCAACCTCTTTATGGATGATGTAGAATAAACCCTAAGACTGTTTTTTGTTTTTTTTGTTTTTTTTTTTGTTTTTTTTGTGTGTGTGTGTGTGTGTGTGTGTGTGTGTGTGTGTGTGTGTTTTCAAAAGAAAGATGACAAAAATGACCCCAGGAAAAAAATACAGGCTGTTCTAAGCAACAAGATTATTCTTTCCATAATAGAAGGCGGTTTTTGAATAATAATGAACCACATTCCAAAGTTAACCATAAGACTGCTGAAAATCAGTAAATTATCTCTGTTACAAAATTTGCCAAAGAAAATGCCTTGGATAATAATTGGTTTTAGAATCTCAAAATTGTTGAACATAAATAGATAGATATAGCTAAAATAAAGAATTTGTAGTAGCTGAAACTGGTTTGGCTCAGTGGATAGAGCATCAGCCTGCGGACTGAAAGGTCCCAGGTTCAATTCTGGTCAAGGGCATGTCCCTTGGTTGTGGGCACATCCGCAGTAGGGGGTATGCAAGAGGCGGCTGATAGATGATTCTCTCATCGAATTTTCTAACTCTGTCTCTCTTCCTCTCTGTAAAAAAAATCAATAAAGTATATTTTTTTAAAAAAAAAGAATTTGTAGTAAAGCTTTTCAGTTATAATTATAGTTATATTAATAGTGGGGACTTGTTCCTTATTGAAGGAGGGGGCTGGTTGCATTTCCCCCAACAGAAAGAATGTGGTGGTTTTACATTTAAATATCTACATACTTGTTTCCTGGCATTCCACTCCTTTTGCCAGCCAGAAACATGGTTTTCTAGAGCCCATGGCAACTTGGAACTTTGGAGTTTCCTAAATTAAATAATAACAATTTATTAAATATCTAGCTATTTTGAAATGACAAAATACTCAAATGTTAATCTGAGTTTGCCTCAGATGAAAAATCTAGAGAATAGATTTGAATCTATTAATTAAATATGTCTTGAATTTTATTTGAAATATATTCTTAAAAATGTGAAGGAATTACTAATCTAAGAAATGCTAAGTATTTAACTTGCCACCTAAAATTTAAGGCTTCTTGCATTGCTGAAGGATGCCCAGAACAAAACCAGAGACAGTTCAACCTGCATCACCATCATTTGTCCACCATCTAGAACTGAAATATCAATGCTGACATCTACACATAAGGAACTGTTTGACATTGAAATTGGGACTCAAAAGAACTGTTGGCCCAGAAAGAAACTCACTACAGACTGATTCATTTGCCTCTCAGCATAACCATTATGGCTGGTCTCATAACACATCTAGGGGAAATAATGAGCAACATAAACTGATGAACAAAAACAGACCCAGAGACAGGGAAGCATTGATCAGACTCTCAAACCTCAGAGGGAAGGTAGGGGAGGGTTGGGGGAAAGGGGGAGAAATCAACCAAAGGACTTTTATGCATGTATATAAGCCTAACCAGTGGTCACAGACAATAAGGGGGTGGGGCATTCGTGGGGAGGGGTTTAGGGTGTGGATGGGTGATGAGGACAATTATGTGATACCATAATCAATTAAAAAATTAAAAATTATAAAATAGCCAAAACCGGTTTGGCTCAGGTAGAGCGTCAGTCTGCAGACTAAAAGGTCCCAGGTTCGATTCCGGTCAAGGGCATGTACGTTGGTTGCGGGCACATCCCCGGTAGGGGGTGTGCAAGAGGCAGCTGGTCGATGTTTCTGTCTCATTGACGTTTCTAGCTCTCTATCTCTCTCCTTTCCTCTTTGTAAAAAATCAATAAAATATATATTTTTTTAAAAAATATTTAAGGCTTCTAAGAGCTTAAAGTTCAAATTAAGTTGGGAGAAATTATATCGTTGTGATAAAGTATAGAAATTTATTTTTGAGAAAATAATTATTGTATTTTATATGGTCTAATTAAAAAAGAGGAATAATTCTGTGGTCTCAACCAAATATTTAATATAAATACCAGTATAAATTTAATTAATACCTTTTAGAATAATTAAAATAGTATATAATATAATCTTTGGGATACACACACACACACACACACACACACACACACACACACGATGATCTTTCCAAGTTAAATTTCAGGACCTTAACCTAGAGATTACTTTGGAACAGTCCAAGGGTCCTGGAGTCATTCAAGGACCTATTCTGTCCTCTTAAAAAATATTTTTAAATTGAATTAGATGAATCTAATATACTTAAAATCACATGGAGAGCTTTATCAAATAAAAATTAATAAATATATTTATTTATATACATATATTTTAAATGTTATAAAGATTTTAACCTCTAAGGTAGGGCAATGCAAAGTTATTTCTTCAGCAGTCGAATTTTAAAAACAAAAGCAAACAGGAGCCCTCAGGTGGCCTGTCTCTTGAATGGGCTGGAGGGTAGGGCAACATCTCTACTTTATAAATCAGACATATGAGTTTTCTTGCTTTGCTTTTTCAATAAATATGCCAACTTTAATTACTTAATGAATTAGGTTTTCATAATACAATCAAGGTCTCATATAATTTTAGTTAAATGAGAAGCCAATGTTTTTATAAACAATTGGCTTTAACAAAGGCCAAGGTAAAAATTCCCATAACCCCTCTGTGTATGCAAATGAGCACTAGCCAAAAAAGTATGCTGTTTAAAAGCAAATTTTAAGCTTAATAAAAAGGAGAAATTTAAAAATTTTTAAATCTCTTCTGCTAATATTTACAGGGTGAACTGAAGGTTATTATTTAAGCATTAAATCTGATAATTAATAAAGTCACCATAACTTAAAGAGAGTCACTTCAAATATAGGGAAGGTAGCATTAGTCACATTTAAAAGCAACCAAGTGTGTTGTTTGGTTTAAAAAGAAAATTTCTAAGTATGGCTTAGAAGTTATTCTGGGAAGTTTCCTTCAAATGTCTGAAAAGCCATACTATAATTAAAAGCCAATGTATTAGGCCTTAAGAAAAAAAGTAAATAACTTGCATTTTACCTCACTAACAAAGCTTGTACTGGAAGTCTGACATTTTTAAATAGTGTCATTACTGTCCACAGCCAAAGACAAATAAAGTTAGAGAATAAGCCTTATTTCAGATTAATTTAAATGAGCAAATTAAAAAAAGTGAATACAGTATTCAAAGGAATTTAGTTATACTAGGCAGGAATCTATTCCTGGAGCATTAACTATTTTTCACTGATAATTCATCTCATAGTAAAAGCTGATTACCATGCAAGGAATTCAGACCAGCCATACTTCTTTACAAATAATTTAATTAAAAGCTATCAAGGCTGCATTGCAAGATTTTCAAAAGCCTCTTGATATTATTTAAAACAAAAAAAAGGGGCATAGTGGAGAAATATCCTGTAAATAAATTACATAAAGCTTTAATTACTTAAATATTTTACTTTAAAATTGTTTTCACTTGTAATGCTAATGGCAAGACACCCATGGTGTCAGAATAAGCTAAAGGAAAATGGTTTGGCAGAATGAAAAGATACGGAGTCTAGTATATAGAAGGATTCCTTTATTAACCTTTGGTCAAGGATATGCTTGTATATTTCCAGAAAATTCCTCCAAGCCTGTGTGGATTCCTGCACCAATGGATCCAAGAGAGGAACTGGCCAGACTGCTCCAACCACAGATAGCAGTGGCCCCAAGCAACATGCTGATGAGAATGAGGAGAAACTGTCTAGAGATGGGGAATGGCGAAGATGCTTTGCCATGCTAGCAGTCATCAACTGTGTGTCACTGCAGGTTGCCCTAGACCAAGCCAAAGAAGGTCGGACCTGCATTGCCATTGCTCATCATTTGTCAATCATCCAGAACTGAAATATCATTGCTGTCAGGTCACAGGGGACAGTGATTGAGAAGGGAACCCATAAAAAAAATGTTGGACATTGCTTGGAAAGGGGACTGTTGGCTCAGAAAGGAGCTTACTGCAGACTGATCACTTTGATGCCTGGCTGCAATTTAAAAGGACATGAAATAATTCAATTCTTTCAATTAAATTAAAAAATCTCAAAAGGACTCGAGCTCTGCAGATGGCATATATTCTTATTAAATTTATTAAATCAAAAAGGGGGACATGCTTGAGGCTAAGAACAGTAGTTAGCGTAATAAATGCAACAAGTTCATCAGAAGGCTGATGGACATTTTCAGCAGGGATGAAGATCTGCATATTATTATCTGCTGCCAAACAGCTGAGGGCATTTCCCCTAACCTAATAATCCTTTGTTTACCAAACCTTACCTTTGATATGTATATCTGCTTTGCTAAAGGGAAAATATGTTAATAAAAAGTCGTGGGTCCAAAGATTTGGAGAGCTTAGTCACTAGAACTAAGTTTCCATCTAGCTCCCCCAAAATGCCTTTCAAATTTATATTTTTTAACTAGTAATCATGTATGCTCAGCCCTTCTTCAAATTCCTGAACCCTTGCTGTAAAAAGACCTTGGCATAAGAATATGTCCATTTCTTCTAGGTTGACAAGTTTATTGTAATAGAGTTGTTCATAGTATTTTTTTTTTTTTTACAATCTTTTCTATTTATGTGGGGTCAGTTGTTACTTCACCTCTTTCATTTCTGATTTTTTTTTTTAATATGGTTCCTCTGTCTTTGCTTCTTGGTGAGCCTAGATAGAGTTTAATCAATCTTGTTTATCTTTTCAAAGAACCAGTTCTTGTTTTATTTTTGTTTTGCATTTTTTTTTATCTCTATGTAATTTATTTGAGTTCTGATTTTTATTATTTCCTTCCTTTTACTCATTCTGGAAATTTCCTGTTACTTTCATTTTATTTCTTTAAGTTGTAGTTAGATAATTTCTCACCATTTTTCCCTGTTTCTTGAGGTAGGCCTGTAATGCTATGAACCTCCCTCTCAGGATTACTTTCACTGTATCCCATAGATTTTGGATTGGCATGTTTACATTGTCATTTGTTTCCAGGATGTTTTTAATTTCTTCTTTGATCTCTTTGGTAACTCAATCATCCTATGTAATAAAAGCCTAATATCTCTCCCTAACCACTCCCAGTTGTTCAGTTATCAATTCAACCAATCAAAGTGTAACATGCTAATGATATGCTATGGCTGCTCTACTGCTTGCTATGGCGTGCACTGACTAACAGGAGGCAGATGCTCTGACTGGTAGATTAGCTTGATGCTGGGACAAATCCGATCAGAACTGAATGAGATGGGCTGGACATGTTTTGGAGCCTTCCTGTGGTCCATCCCGGATTGTCCAACCTCCCATGTCCCTCCCTTGCTCTGATCATATACTGGTGGTGTCCCTCTACCTGGCCGATTCCCTCTCACAATCTGGGACACCTCAGGGGATTTGGAGAGAAGGTTTTGGCCCAATCCTGCAGGCCAGGCTGAGGGACCCTACTGGTGCATAAAATTGTGCACTGGGGGTCTAGTTGTTTAATAACATACTATTTAGTTCTCAAGTGTTTGAATTTATTTGACTGTTTTCATTGTAGTTGATTTCTAATATTATGTCATTGTATTCCAAGAAGATGCTTTATATGATTTCAATCTTCTTAAATCTGAATAGACTTTGCTGATGTCCTATTATGCGGCCTGTCTTTGACAATGTCCCATGAATACTTGAGAAGAATGTATATTGTGTAGCTTTTGTGTGAAATATTCTGAAGATGTCAACTAATTCCATCTGTTCTAGTGAATCACTTAGGATTGCTGTTTCTTTGTTCAGTTTTTGTTTAGAAGATTTATCCAGTAATGTAAATCGGGTAATAAAGTTACCTACTATGAATATATTGTTGTTGATCTCTCTCTTGATATCTTTCAGAAGTTTTTTTGTTTGTTTTAATGTATTTGGGTGCTCCTGTATTGGGTGCATATATATGTTTACCAGATTTATATCCTCTTGTTATATTGATCCCTTTAGTATTATGAAGTGGCCTTCCTTATCACTTGTTATGGAGTTCATTCTAATTTGTCAGATACAAGTATTGCTACCCCAATTTTTTATCATTTCAATTTTCCTGAAAAATATTATTCCATACCCTTTGTTCTGAGGTAGGTCTGTTGTAGACAGCATATATATGGGCCAGGTTTTTTTACCCATACAGCCACTCAGTGTGCTTTGATTGGAACATTTAATGCACTTATATATAAGTTTACTAGAGGCCTGGTGCACAAAATTCGTGCATGGGGGTGGGTGTCCCTCAGCCCAGCTTGCATGCTCTCCAATCTGGGACGTCTTAAGGGATCAATCCAGAACTGCTGGCTCACAACTGCTCACCTGCCTGCCTTCCTTATTAACCCTAACCGCTTATGCCTGCCAGCCTTATCTCTCCCTAACCACTCCCATACCAACCTGATTGATATCTAACTGCTCCCCTGCCAGCCTGTTTGCCCCCAACTTCACTCCTCTGTTGGCCTGGTCACCCCTAACTTCTCTCCTCTGCAGGGTTGATTGACTCCAACTATCCTTCCTTGCAGGCCTGGTCCCTCTCAACTGCCCCCCTTGCAGGCCTGGTGCCTCCCAACTTCCCTCCCCTGCTGGCCATCTTGTAGTGGCCATCTTGTGTACACATAGGAGCAGGATGATTGACCACATGGGGGCAGCTATTGTGTGTTTGAGTGATGGGTAATGTGCACATTACTCTTTTATTAAATAGGATAGAGGCCTGGTACATGGGTGGAGGCCAGCTGGTTTGCCCTGAAGGGTGTCCTGGATCAGGGTGGGAGTTCCCTTGGGGCATGGGGTGGCCTGGGCAAGAGGCCTATGGTGGTTTGCAGGTCAGTCATGCCCCCTGGCAACCCGAGCATAGGCCCTGGTATCTGGAAATGATTTACCTTCTACAATTGAAACTTTGTAGCCTGGAGCAGAGCTAAGCCTCCTGTTCGCTCCATGGCCAGCAGCCATTTCTGTTTGGATTTGTTTACCTTCTATAATTGAAACTTTGTAGCCTTGAGTGGAGGCTTAGGCCCGCTAGAGCAGGAGGAAAGCTTGGCTTTTTCTGTTGCCTGGAAAACCCAAACCTCCCTCAGGCTCTCTGTGGCTGTAGCCATCTTGGTTGGGTTTATTTGCAAACTCACTCTGATTGGCTGGTGTGCGTGGCTGGTGGGTAAAGCAGAGTGATGGTTAATTTGAATATTACTTTGTTAGGTAGGATCATTGATGGGTACTTGTTTGTAGCCATTTTCTTTAGGCTGTGTTCCTTCTTCCCTTTCTATTCCTTTCTCTTTCTATTAAAAAAAAATTATTGTTCAGATCATTACAGATGTTTCTCTTCTCCCCTTCCAAAGCTCCCCTCTACTCAGTTCTCACCCCCGAGGCCCCTCCCCCATTGACCTTGTCCATAGGTGTAAGCTTTTTGTTCAATCTCTTCTCACACATTCCATAACCTCCCCTCCCCTGAGAATTGTCAGTCTGCTCCCCTTCCATGCCCCTGATTCTATTATATTCAACAGTCTGTTCTGTTCATCAGGTTTTTTAAGCATTTGATTTTTAGGTTCACTTGTTGATATATATTTGTTTTCACTTTGTTGTACAACATTTTTTATCTTTACCTTTTTCTTCTTCTTCCTCTTCTTACAGAATACCCTTCAGCATCCTATATAATAACAGAGTAATATACAAATTAACAATCACTCTGCTATACCCACAGGACACACCCACCAGCCATGCCCACCAACCAATCAGTGCAAGTATGGCTGTTTCTTTATCTCCCCATGGTCTCTCTTTTCAGGATGTCTGGTTATGTAGTTCTCTCTGTCCTGCTTTGATTTAAAGGCACATAATTCACCACAACCAGGTAGAACACATAAGGTACTGAACAGAAATATATTTGTGATATTAATAACCTCCAATAAAGGTAATCACTCTAAAAAGGCAAATTATGGGATAGGAGAGAAAGAAGAAGAGTAAAAAGAAAAATAAATAAAAAATGGAGTGTCAAAATGAAATTGGGAAACAAGAAAAAAAAAGTAAGAGAGACAAGAACAAGACTAAGAGAGAAAAGGGGAAAAAAAAAAATATATATGTATATGGGGATTAAATTCCAATAGAACAACCACTAATCCCAATGCCAATGCCAGAAACAGTACTTGGAGATTAATACAAACTACACCAACTAATATAAGTGAGGCAAGGGAAAACAGAAGTTAAAAAACAAAAACAAAGCAAATAAAAAATACCAAACTACAACAGCAAAAAAAGAATAAGCAAAACAATCTCACTAAACAGCATAAAAATTCAATATAATCAATATTCAAGCAAATAACAACAAAAAGACAGAGAGAAATACAGGGTGTTTTTTGTTTGTTTGTTTGTTTGTTGATAGTTAAGACAGTGAAGAGAGTAGTGTGTATGTACTTGGATCAGGGGAATGGAAATTAGATATATAACTAGGGTGAAATTTTAGCAGGGGATAGACAGAAAAAAAGGGAAAGTCTAAAGCAGAAAAGGGTTAAGATAAATAGGACACCAAAAGGGGAAGGGTTAGGAAGAGAGTGTTGGCATAAAGGCATGTTGAGATAGGGTAAAATGATGTTAAAGGAAAGATGAAAATAGAATGTAGAATACTAATCCCAATGTAAAATAAAGAGAAAATAATATGACACTTTAAAAAAAAAGAAAAATAGAAAGAAAAAAATGTAAAATAGCAGAAGTAATACTGCTGATTGAAAATAAAAATGTAATAATAAAAAGATAAAATCAAGTGAGGAAAAAAGAAAAAAAATGTGTTTCTTAAGTAAAAGATTGAAAAAATGAAAATAAAATTAAAAAATAAGAAGAATTAGAATTAAAAAATATTCAGTAGTGAAGGTCATTCACTTCCTCTATTCTGTTTGGCATGCCTGTTTCTCAGTCCGAATAGTATTATAGTTCCCTGCATTGCACTGCTCTTCAGTGTTGTAAGACTGTCCTTATTTTTAAGTAGGCAGTGTTTTAATTTCTTGTATTACTTTATTTTTTATTAAATAAAAATAATAATAATAAAGTCAGTTTGTAATTCAGCCCTTAGGTGCCAGTGTTTCTGCATTGACTTCCCAGACTCTGTGGCTGTTCTAGCCTTTTTTCTCTGTGGCACTTAATACTGGTTTGAGGAGATGGGCTGCCTCAGAGCTAGCTCTCCAGTGGTCTCTTCCCACTCCGATCCCCAGTTTCCAGAAAAGCAACTTTCCCCTGCAGTCTCCCAGGTATGCCAAACTGGGCGATCTTTAGTTAGTAATCAGAAGCAAGGGAATGAAGAGGAAAGAGCTCAAGTGTGCAAATGATTGGTCTGTGCGAAAGTTTAAGCAGCTTGCTCACCTTTCAAATCCATATGCTCTCCCTTTGTTTCAGATTGGAATGGATTGCTTTTTAGAGATCCCTTCTGTTAGCAGCTTTGAATACCCCCTTCCACATTCACGGATCACACCAGACCCAACAACCAGGGACTTTTCTAGGCACATACTTCCCCAGTCCTTCAGGTCCTACAGCACGCACATTTCTCTCTCCTGCTGCCACTGCCGCCACTTCTGCTGTGGCCACCAGGACCCAGATACCTCACCTTATCCCTGGAGAAATCTGACCTTTCCTTGGTGGAGTGAAGAGCACCCTTAAATCCAAGTGTTTGTGCCCATTGGGGACTCACAGCTGTTCAGTGTTCACCGTAGTTGTGGGTTTTTAGTCTTCAGATAATATTCACTTTTCCTTGCAAGATGAAGCAGTTTTCTGTCTGAACCGTAGCTCTGTGGGAGATCTTAACTGCAGTACGGGCTGCCAGGTCAAGGAACCTCGTCTATCAGTCCCCCACCTTCTTTTAGAGTTTTGCTATCCCTTAGCTTGCCAACAAACATTCCCCTAGCAACCCTCAGCTGCTCCTTCTATCTGCTCTGGGTCAAGGCTCGGAACATGTCTGTCTATTCAGTCGCCATTTTCTCCTCCCTTCTGCATTTTCAATATGTGTTTTTTTCCTCCAAAGTTTCGTGGTTAATAGTTCAGGGTCATTGCTTCATACTGTTTATGGATAATAACTCTGTGGACTGCTTTGCCTCAGAAATAATTTGATTAGAAGTACTGCTGTTTAACACCATTCAGGAAAATGTTACACTATAGAGAGCATTGGATTTGTGACAGAATAACATTGATGAGAAGCCAGGCAAACTAATAATATGATAGCTTTGTTATTAAATTGGCCTTTTGGAATTTTTGTCCACCATTTTTATTGATATCATGGCTATCTCCTAAGAGATAAGCATGTGACCAATTTGATGAGTTTTATTTGGTAAGGACAGAAACCAACGCCAGATAAACAAGGTCACAGTAACTTCATATAGACCTCATGCTTCCAGGATACTCTTTCTTTCCTCTGAAGTTAGATATCTATTTGTGATGGAGAAAACATTTATGTAAAGGGGAAAGATTAGAATGCACTGAAATGAATGCTCATGTTGACATCATCGACTTCAAAGGACTCATTTGATGTAGTGACTCAGCCTCTGTGAATCTGACTGTGTGTATGTTCTGTGCTTTTACAGGGAGTCATCATCCAGGGACCTCCCAGAGACCACAAGAAAACATGGGGAGGAGTAAGTTTCCCTTCACTTTTAAATAATTTAAATAATTTAGACTCTCTCCATATTAATCCAATGTACCCAGGAAATTAGATTTGCAACTCCAAGGTTTTCGTGTGTGTGTGTGTGTGTGTGTGTGTGTGTGTGTGTGTGTGTGTGTGTGTGTGTTTTGGGGTATATTTAAATTATATTTCTGGTTAGTGTTAGAAAGTTTTTGTCTGAAGCAGGCCTATACAGAGACAAACCAACAGACCACATGTAGCTCACTGGAAAGGGTCTTTTTTCCCCCTCTTTTCTAAACACCTCCCAGCACAAAAAGAGAAAGCTCAAACTAGATACTATATAGACCTGTCCTAATCCCAGATTCTTTACAATTCTTAGCAAAATATGCTTCTAATTGTTTCTAAGCCTTGTTGATAATAACATAAATAAAAACATGCAACCAATGACAGTATTAAAAAGTTAATTTGTAGGTTGATTTATAAATGGTTTTGATTTCCCCTAAAATTTTAAAGCCTGACATTAAGAACCATTAGATGAATTCCATTTGTTATTTTTCCTTTCTTATAAGGCTATTTAGGGTCAGTAAGTAATAGACAAATTTAAGGTCATTTCATTGTTAGTATAAACCCGCTACTAATGACTTCATAAATAATTCTAATCAATGTAGACTATAAAATCTGATGCTATAAAGGACCTCACAATGAGACTTGGTGTTGTATAGTATTGTGAGAAGAGTACTAGACACAGATAATCAAAGACCTGAATTCAAGTCTACCCCTACTACCTTGACCAAATCCTAGAGCTCCCCTAAACTTGTTTGTTCATAGGGAGGATTAATACATGCTGCTCTTCGAGCCTCAGGAAGCTAAGGTTGGCATAATGTGATAATGCATATGAAAAGTGTGTTGAGAACTCTATAAAGTACATAGAGAGCAGTGGTATCTGCTCTTTTTTGTCTTTATTGAATAAGTATATCTTCATTGGTTCTGTCTTTTTATTAGTTAAAACGAAGTTTTTTTGTTTTTGTTTTTGGTTTTTTTTTTTATCAGCAGGGCTCACTAGGGTTGTGCAAGTGAAAGAGAATTCCACCTTATGTTTTGAGCTCTAGGCACTTTATATGCCCCAGTTTAGTATTAACCCTGGTAGGCCCTAGATTAGTCATGGAAAATATCTTCCTGAACCTATTGAATCAGATTTTGCTTTCTCCCCTCAACCCCGGGGTTTTCCTTGGAGATTGAGTAACCCCAGAGATTATGATTATTTTATCAAACTCAACAAAAGATACTAATCTCTGATATTTTAGAAATTTAAAAAAATGAATAAATTAAAAATAAAACATCAATTTTCAGACTAATCCATACCATTTCCTAACACCAAGTCAATGGTTTCCAGAGTATCTCACCCTGTTTGGTCTTCAACTAATCGCAAACTTTGGTTGGATTTAGAGACGAGAGCTACACTGAGAAAGGGCAACACATTTTTTCTTGTTTCTTCCTTTTTAGAATAATTATCAGGTCATTAGCAAAGAGATCATTAGGTGCTTACTTTAAAAAGTTCCTCAGCAAGTATTTATTTAAATGGTCAGGCAATTGATAGAATATTTGATAAAGCACAGGGCATGGTAATGTAATCTGCAAGATGGGCATGCTTCCGATCTTGAAATAAGGGAAGTGCTTCAAAAAGTCTACTTTTACAAACAAACAGAAGTTTGTAAAGTGATCAACTGTTTGTGTTGACCACTTTATGTTTTGAAATTTATTGATTGATTAAGGTATTACATATGTGTCCTTATCCCTCCATCCCTCCCCCCCCACTCATGCTCTCACTCAACTGTTGTCTGTGTCCATTGGTTAGGCTTATAAGCATGCATACAAGTCCTTTGGTTGATCTCTCCCCCTTATCTCCACAATCCCTTACCTTTCCTCTGAAGGTTTGACAGTCTGATCAATGCTTCTATGTCTCTGTTTTTGTTCATCAGTTTATGTTGTTCATTATATTCCATAAATGAGTGAGATCATGTGATATTTATCTTTCCATGACTGGCTTATTTCACTTAGTATAATGCTCTCCAGTTCCATCCATGCTGTTGCAAATGATAAGAATTCCTTCTGTTTTAGATGTATCATAGTTTTTTAACCCACTCATCTGCTGATGGGTACTTAGGCTGTTTCCAAATCTTAGCTATGGTGAATTGTGCCACTATGAACATAGGGGTACATATATCCTTTCTGATTGGTGTTTCTAGTTTCTTTGGATATATTCCTAGAAGTGAGATCACTGGGTCAAATGGGAGTTCCATTTTTAGTTTTTTGAGGAAAATCCATATTGTTCTTCACAGTGGCTGCCCCAGTCTGCATTCCCACTAGCAGTGCACAAGGGTTCCTTTTTCTTTGCATACTCGCCAGCACTTGTTATTTGTTGATTTGTTGGTGATAGCCATTCTGACAGATGTGAGATGGTACCATGTTGTCATTTTGATTTGCATCTCTCAGATGATTAGTGACTTTGAGCATGTTTTCATATATCTCTTGGCCTTCCTTATGTCCTCTTGGTTTGTTTGTTTTTTAAATATATTTTTATTGATTTTTCACAGAGAGGAAGGGAGAGGGATAGACAGTTAGAAACATCAATGAGGGAGAGACATAGATCAGCCACCTCTTGCACACCCTCTACTGGGGATGTGCCCGCAACCAAGGTATATGCCCTTGACCAGAATCGAACCCTTCATCCGCAGGCCAACGCTCTATCCACTGAGCTTTGGCTTATGTCCTCTTTGGAAAAGTATTTATTTAGGTTCATTGCCCATTTTTTGATTGGGTTGTTTATTTTCCTTTTGTTAAGTTGTATGAGTTTTCTGTAAATGTTGGAGATTAAACCCTTATCAGTGAGGACATTGGCAAATATGTTCTCCCATGCAGTGGGCTATCTTGTTGCTTTGTTGATGGTTTCTTTTGCTGTGCAGAAGCTTTTTATTTTTATCTTAGTGCATTTTCTAAGTGCTATAGCAGTAATTTGTCATACTTACTAGCATATGCAGTTATTAATTGCTAATTTTGCTATCTTTAACTTAAGAACACAGGTTATGGAAGCAATTCATCATGCTGTTTCAATCATAACTAATCACATTATGCTACTACATTTTTTTTTTTAGAAAATAGGAATAATAATTTAACCATGTATCTTCAAAAGGATGAATTTTACGTTGTTTTACAGAAAATAATATCTGGAATAGCTGGGTGATAGCAAACTGACAGGATTAGTGGGGAATAATTAAGATTAAAAAAAAATGAAGGTAACAGCATTTTTTTTTCTGTTTTTCTTCTGTTCATATTTAGTCTTTGGAAATAACTTTTACCTAGCCTGTAAGAAAATCTTATGTTTATAAAAATCATAATTTGAAAAGTCAGTTTCCATTTTCATTTTCTATACTTAACAGTGACATGCTTTTGATGGTCTAGTATTCATGAACATATTGCCATGCTGTAGAGAAACAGTGACAGTACTGTCAGGCACAGTCTTTGTGTGTGTGTGTGTGTGTGTGTGTGTGTGTGTGTGTGTGTATTAATTAAAACATAGCAGCGTAATTCCTTTGGGCCCCTGGATGTGCCTGGCTCCTTTAGCCCAAGGAACCCAAGCTTGTTCCCCCACTTATTAAGACTTTGTGGAAGAAAAAATGGTTCATAGCTACCACAGTAAATCTCTAAGCTCTTTGATGCACCGCCAAACTATTTAGTTGAGGCCAATCCTAAATTTTCACTCTGAGCATACATCTCCATATTTTCAAATGGCGAGTGAATGTTCATACTGCTAAGCCTTGTAAAGTGACTATCTCATAATGTAGTGCTTAATTTTATTTGACAGTTCCCTGGTTTATAATTCAAGTGCAGGCACACATTTAAAGAAAAGTAATTATTTCATGTTCTGGCCTGTGTTAAATCTGATGATCTCTTTTATTACAGTAGCATATTCATGCCTCTGCTGTTTAGATGATGTCATCAATTTATCTTAAATTATTATATTCATAATTTTATAGCAGTAATGTAAAATCTGCTTGGGCCATTCCTCTTCCCTGGCAAGTCTTTCCCATCAGGAAAAAAAGAAGTGAATTAACTTTTTAACAAATATATATTTTTATTGATTTCAGAGTGGAAGGAAGAGGGAAAGAAATATAGAAACATCAACCATCAACAAAGAGAATTTTTGATCAGCTGCCTCCTGCACACCCACTGGGTATCAAGCCCCCAATCCAGACAACCTGTCCAGGAATCAAACTGTGGCCTCCTGGTTCACAGGTTGATGCTCAACCACAGAGCTATACCAGTGGGGAAGTAATTAACTCTTTATGGGTCAGACTCCTTAAGAAGAAAAAACTCATTATAGTGCTTGATGCTTTTTGTCTTTCATGCAGTCCTTTCTGGTTTTACCTATTTAAGACAAAAATAACCTTTGGTACATACATTTAGAATAGTTTCTCAACCTCAGCACTACTGACATTTTTTAAATTCAGGCAAACATCACATAACATAGAATTGACCATGTTAAAGTGTATATAGTTCAGTGGCATTTAGTACATTCACAGTGTTGTGCAAGCATCTAGTTCCAAAACATTTTCATCACTTCTGGAGGAGAACTTGAACCCATTATGGTCAGTCACTATTCCTTCCTCTCCCTGGGCCCTGACACCTTGTAGTCTACTTTCTGTCTCTATGACTTTACCTATTTCATATGCAATAATACAATATGTAGCCTTTAATATCTGGCATATTCACTTAGCATATTTTTTAGGTTTATTCATGTTGTACTTAGTACCTTATTCTTTTTTTTAAACAACTTTGTGAGGAAGATGGTATTATCCTTGTTTTACTAAATGAGGAAACTGAGGCACAGAGTGACTTTTTTATTGATTTTAGAGAGAAGAAGGGAGAGGGATAGAGAAATAGAAACATCAGTGAAAAAGAAATAATTGCTTGGCTTCCTCCTTACACATCCTCTACTGAGGATCCAGCTCACAA